AATTTGTGCTTTGTTTTGGGTTATACGGGTGTTACATTAATTTGTTTGAATTGAATAGCCGCGTGGAAATAGATATTTCATTAAAAATTAATAACACATAAGAAAATATAATTGCCGGTCTTAAATCATTCAATTCATTCAATCTTCTTATCGGTCGCCGTCTTGAGTTCGTCGAATCGTTATGAATAACCAGTCGTTCAATACTACGACATAATTGAAAATAATAATCCGATTTCTTGGTCTTCAATATCCTGCATTGGGGCATTGTCTTTACTATTTATCAAGCATATACATTTTCGACCAAGGGAAGTAATTGCAAATTAATTGTTTTCACCATTATTAAATTAAAAACTCTTAGCTATGTCAATCGAAGCAATAATATGAAACGTTTTAAGTGACAGCAGCCCACCAGTTTTTTTTTCACCTATTTTATGCATGGATTTTATTTTTTTATTTGAAAAAGGTTAGTATTACGAAAAAATTGCAGAAGACTACAATTTAGGCAAATTAAACCTAAAATTAAAATAAGGGTTTTTTATATCAATATCACACATCACGCAAGAGGCCAAATACATTTTTAATTTAATTAAAAACAATTAATGTACCTTTCATTTTGTTGAGCTTTTAACAATTTTATCTCTCCGGGTTTTGCTTAGAAAGCTCATCCAATATATACTATCCACTATGTTAATAAACCGGCCATTAAAATTTTCAATATCTGTTCTTTTATTTACTTAATTTGGATTAATTTCGAATAAAATTTGTTTACTTCAAATTTAACCTTTATCAAAATGAAATCTTGGTATTGCTCGCGCGATATTCGTTTCCAACTCCAAAGGGGTTTTAGCTTTAGTTTTGGTCAAAAACTATTTTTTCTCGTTTCTCTCACATTTCAATGCAACTTATACAGTGTCCAAATAGTTTGTCAAAGTTATAAATAAGGCTAAAAGAAATAATCCAAAATTATTTTCAAATAAACAGGGTGATTTATAAGTATGTAAATAGAATGCCCTGCACACTACTGCATTAGTAGATACATCGTTTTATACTCAATCGCTCTATACCGAGTATTTTCGGATTTATGGACATTTTTTCGTTTTTAACACTCAATATTTTTGACATCATTCAAAACAAAATGAAAAATATTAATTTCCGTGAAAAATGCTATTGGAGCACTGTGTAAATTATACTTGTTTGTCAAATTATGAGAAAATATCGCAATAAGCCTAAACTAACAAAAATAAATAGGTAAATTTTTAATTTTGTGAAAAAATATTTGCATTCTTACCATTAATTGAGAAACTCCGCATTTCTTAAAAACCAAAATATTATTCAATTATAAATTATGCAAACCTAACTAAATGATTAAACGAACTTTCCTAAGTGAAGGTCGATCATAATTATATGAAGTATCGTTCGAAAGATTACATATAATGTAGTACTATGTCTTACACTATAGGCGGTAAAATGTGACGTATCTATCACACTTGAAGCAATTATAAACTTAATTCATCTACCGTATCAGGTTTCTTATACGCAACAAACATGGTTTTCACATTAGTATTATTTATGTGAAAATCTGAACAACGTTTGTTCTTATTTAACTATTTTAAATGGATTTTCATTAAGTAAAAGTCACTTCAGTACAGTTTTCACATTACCTCTTAAAAGCTTTTTCCTTTCCAAATATTGTATAAGAGTACTTGTTACATGGAGTTCTGGTTTTCCTTCAAAAAACGGTAATACTAGGAGGGGTTGAAATTTACCAGGTCCCGCAGCCTTTTTTGATTTTAGATTTTTTTAAATATTATCATTTATCATGAAAATCAACACTTTCTCGGTCTGTTTCTATAACGATAAAGACTAAATCGGAAAATGTTTTGATGAAATTTAAAACAAGTTATACATTTCATATTTTCTCATATTTGCGCCTTAAAGGTCTTTTCCTAAAAATACTTCTAAACCATTTTTCTTACTATCTGACCTTTACATGTATAAGCTTTATAAGAAATAAAATAAATCGCTAACCTTATGGTGTTCAAAGTTCTATAAGAAACAACTCCATTAAATTTCTGAGTGAGAAAATTTAACAAATCATTAACAGCAAATTTAAAAGGACATACTCTATTAGTCAAATAAAAAAAACACCACTGTTTTAGCCCTGAATCATGTTGCTTAAGCATGGCGTTAGACACTAACAAAATATCATAAGATGACACTGGAAGATTCCTTAATATGCTTACCTGATACACGTCCTGCTACCAACGTAAGCTTGACTGCCAATGGTTGGTATACTGTTCTGCAATCAGATTTAAAATTAACAGAATCCTCTAGAAGCAGAGAAAGAAATACAGGATAGCAACCAAGATTGCGCAATTTTTAAAGGTACAACACTTTGCATTTTTTGTTCGGTTTTGATGCAAAACGATCAATCTGTTGTTCACTTTTTTTAAACTATTTTCGTGAAAGCCCAATCTGCTAATTCCCATTCTGTATTTATTTCTCTTTCTCTTATTTCTCGATTGTTTATCTGCAATCGAATTATCCCAACATGGGATGTATGATGTAAATAACCATACGTTGCGAAGTTCACAACATTGCCAATCCGACATACTCAACCCATTTTAACCAGGAAACTGAACACCCCCCATTCTATTTATATATGATATTGCTGTCATATTATCTGAACTAATTAAGATTTTGCAGTTTTCAAAATGTTTTGCAAAGGACTTTATAGCAATGAACACTGCCACAGCTCTAGTTATTTAATATAGAACTGTTTTTCCTCTTTCATCCAGAAACCTGATTCAAGCAATTCCCCAGCCGGATAAAGACGCTTCCGAAAAAATTTCCAACTTAAACTGAAATTTCCTAGTTGGATTAGATGAATTCTGTACATGAAATATCCACCAAAGGAAATCTTCTTTTAAAGTCTTCGATATAACAATATTATGGTCGTCGCTAAAAATGAGAGCTAGAAATTTCTCTCGTTCTACATGTTTATTATACATCCACCCATAAGCTACAATAGGACAACTTGAAATTAAATGTCCTACGAACCGCGCAAACTCTCTAATTCTACAACATCGCCTACCAGAAAACCATCTTAACATAGCCATTAATTTACTTGCTTTTTCTGAAAGTACTTCAAACGTAAATTTAACGTAACAGATTTTTAAATTCTTGCAAACTAAATACCAAGCAACAAAACTTAAATAATCTACCCTTAAAATCAAACCTTGGGTGGTCTAAATTGCAAAGTGTTTTTTTAACAAGGTACTTTTCACCTCTGCGATAGCCAATTTTAAACTAGGAACACGAAGTACTACGGGCTTACGAACAAGAAGTTGGCAGATATGCATTTTATGTTTGACTAATGACATTACGTCAGATAGGCGATCATTTTCAAACGTACATAGAAGGTTGACTGAAATAAGTACTTTGAGGGTAAATAATCATCTAAAAGGGGCTCGTCAGACCGTAAGAGCTCTAGAAATTGAATAAACAGTTTCAAATTCTATTCATGAAACTCCTGAACTTAGTATAAAAAAATGGAATTAATCTGGATATATCGTATCTCAAAATTGCCCAGTATTCGTTATTTGACCAAGAAATACTATCTATAAATGAAGCTAACTTTTCCAGAAATGCAATCAGAAATTTCAAAAAATAACAATATTTGGGCCGATGAAAATCCACACGCAGTTGTAGAATTTAAACACCAAGAACAGTTTCCGGTAAATGTTTGTGCTGAAATAGTTGAAAATGATTTAATTGGACTCGTTTTCCTGCCAGAAAGGCTAAATGGTCATAATTATCGCCGGTTTTTAATAGCGGATTTCCCAATGTTGCTAGAGGAAGTATCATATTTAATTACGATCAGAATGTCGTTCATGCATGACGGCGCGCCTGCTCACTTTAGTATTGTAGTAACAGAATATTTAAATCATATATTTTATAACCGGTGGGTAGGTCACGACGGACTACAACCATAACCCCCTAGGCCCCCTAAATAGTTTGGACTTTTCCTTGTGGGGGAATCTTAAAAGTCTGGTTTATCGCACCCCAATTAACGCTGTAGAAGAGTTGAGCTGAGGATTGTATAAGAGCTTCCTGCGATTTAATATGCAACACTAGAGGTATATTTTAAGGAATGCGCGACCATATGAGGGAAGGACTGAAGCGCGTATCCTTCAAGGTAGAGGACACTTTCAACAACAATCCGGATTCTATGTTATACTTTTTTTATACGAGTTGTTATTAATTTATTAAGACACAATTTTGATTAAAATTATTAACAGTAAGTAGTTTTATTTAAATGAGAATAGTTTATTATTTATCTCGTTATTTTATTAAAACTGTGAAAGTAAAAAGTAAAGATATTATTATAACCATGCCGAGAAGACGTTTTTATTTTTTAAGCGAAAACCTTACATCGGATCGGAAAATTTACAGGTGAAATTCCACCACATGGAGTATTTTTTAAAAATTGTGGTACACTAAGTAACGCCTATTGAGATATTCTGCACGTGTGCCAAACTTCATTAGACTATCTAAAGTGGTATTACAGATATTATAATATAATTTATTTTTGTTCATATGAAACACCCTGTATAACATTTTTTTACAAAGCAAGTAATAAACCACATATATTACTTTGAAAAATTATTTGGACGCCCTGAATAGTTGCAGTTGTTAAGACATGTCTTACTTATTGAGAGAGGTCTTAATCTATGGAATTTATCACCATAGACAGGGCCTCTTTACATATCTGGCAGCGATGTGGTCATGCCGCATTTTTCTTAATGTTCCGGCTATGCGTGTTACCAAGAAAGTTGGGCGGGTATTTGCAATTACCGTTTCTTTGTTTCTTTTTTTTAACATATATTATTGCAATAATTCAGATTGCATTGCGATAAAGGTTAATTCAATTCGCTTAAGTTTCAAAGTATCTGTTATGCACTTAACATAAAATTTATTCAACATTATTTTGGTTGCAGCGACATGGTGGAGAGCAAATTGTCGCCGTCACCTCCGGCGCAATTTCCATCCATAAGTTTCATAGTTTCCAACATTTTCCGATGTGAAGACGCGCAACCTGTAAACGGAATCCCTATCAGAGTGTGTTCACGCGAGAATGTTATGCGCGATTCAAGCTGGGCGTTGAAATACATACCGCAAATCGTTTCCTTGCTTGAGCGGTTTATGAACAATAGTCTTGCTATGCATACCAACTTCAACAAGTTAGACCTAATCGCTCTACCGGGTCAATACAATGTCTTAAGCTTTTGGGGACTGTTGACCTGGGCGTAATATTTTTTTTCAGTTTACTATTAATTTATAATTACGTAATTATGAGGGGTAAACGGCAGAGAAATTATGATGTACGGGCTGAAAAAATTCCAACTAAATTGACAGAAGTTCGAAGGAGTTGCGAAGAATTCAAGTGAAATTTTAATTAACTCAAGAATCAAAAGGCATTTATTGTTTCGAATATTTTTGGAATAAAAAAATTATTTCTTTAAAAATAAAAATATCCAAGCACTTATATTAATTTCCACTTTCAAATATTGGTTTGATTTTATCTTAACGACAGTTCCAATTCTGTGTATCATTTAAAATATTTGACCACTAGATGTAGCTAAATTTTTATGTACGTCTTCTTAGAATCTGAAATTATTAACGCTTAGTCACTATTTTGATTGTTTATCCGATTTTTTTATGTAGTTTGGCACGCAATCAATAGGACCAGATACATTTTATTGCACAGACATCCTCTTATTCCTTGGAATTTCAACTAATTTCGGTGCAGTCGTATTAATTAAGCAGCCCCCTGGCGAAAGCCAATGGAAATAATTTTATTTTAATGATAGACAAATTGAAATGTTGATCAATTTTTTTTTTAAATTACCACCGCCATCTAGTGACTTACTGAATACCATACATATAATTTATTGCTACCACGGAGGTATCTGAAGTTACTGTCTCATTTTCCATTCTTTTAAAATGGATATTACATATTGCCCTATAGGACTGTCGTCACTTTAGTCGAATCCGTTTGCTGATGTATTTCATTCTGGAATTCGAATTTTATTATTATGTTATTAATGTACGAAACACTAAATGCTGATTCAGTTATTCTACGCAACCTGGTTTGGTACTATTTTCTGTTTGTACTAACCTGTTTTCAATTCTAAACATTGATTTTATTCATTCTACATCAACGTATTTTATTGTTCCTTATCTTATTATTCTAACAAAATAATAAATTGGTTTAACGGATTCTGAAGGAATTATGACTATAAAAAGAATTTCAGTGTACACTTGCTCTGCGGTTTAATCTCTCGAAATTTGTATGCTGGTATAGTTACAAATTTTTCTATTATCGTGCATTTCTTGTTTGACACCACCGGTGGACGGTGGACGTAGAATTATAGAATTTCTTCTACTTGCTGAAAAATTTAAAATGAATTGGACGCGGTCAGGTGGATTATATCAGGGACACCTATTATAATCAATTTAATGTTACAGCGAGTATCTGTTGCTGCCCGATTTAAAAAGAGAAACAGAGAGACAATTCGGTACCGGCGGATTTGCTCATGAATTGTGTCACCAATGGATCGGAGAATTGGTAACCCCAAGTAATCACATCTTCGAAGGTTTTTGCGCTTTCATGCAGTACTTTATTCCTTCACAAATAAATGTAAGTGCAGTAATAAAGGACCCTTATGAAGACATAAATTTAGAGTGTGTTCCATTGCACATTACATTAGTGTAACCGCTTTTAGAGGCCCTAATTTATTAAATCGTTTTGGCAGGTTTTCTTCATTGGTAGAGGATGATGATGAAACTAATTAGAACTATACACAATAGTGAGAAAATCAATTATTTGTAATTTGTTTGGTTTTGCTGAATCAATTCTTCGATTTTCACCGGCTCTATAAGGTCCTCTTGAATAAGGGTTGCATCTTCTAAATGAGGTTCCTTGATTGAATATGCGTCATTTCCGGATGCTGATTGGATGGATATATTATTTATATACAGGGTTGTCGATGATAATGTCGCATTGGCTCCTCATCAGCGTGCAGCCTTAAAGACGTTCCTTTTGGAACTGGATGCTGCGTAGCGGGCGCGAGTTTAAAACTGCTTCAATTTGAGTAAGGGTAATAGCAAATTGCTCAAATGTCATATTTTGATAACCAATGATGCGATGGAGGTTTCAGGCCTCGGCGGGGCCCTGGTTTATGAAAAATGTTTCTGCACAAGCCCTGGCGAGGTTGAGAAGCTCCCTATATGCTCGCTCAAAATTGCTGTTTTGACCAGATGCTATCGGGGTACATTTGAAGCGACGTGCGACAAAAACGCCTTAATGCCGCTAAAACTGGTTCGGCAGTCAGGCCAGTAGACGAAACACGGCAAATTCTAACGCGATTGAACAATATAAACCTAGACTTGGATTTTAAATTATTTTTAAACCTAAGGGTATTAGTGAAACCGCGTTTGATCTTTGACAAAGATAAAAACCGCTCCCAAAGAAGCATTTTGTTCTTCTTTGTCAAATGTCTCGATGTTAAATTCAATATTAGGTTGCTCTGGTCAGTCATCTGGAGATTTTAACGAAAAATTGGGGTCCGACCACAGATATCAGTCTCAAACCGTTGTGCAGGATTCTGGAGCGATGACACATAATGCCAAGAATTGCGTGAAACAATTTCCTGTATGTCGCTAACTCGGTTAGCGACAAAAGTCTTCCACTTGTGGGAAGAAGAGCACATCCAAGCCAGCGTGGCTTGAGAATCGATCCAAGTGTTAATGACATCGAAAATCAGCAGCCCCGCTTAGCTTTGCTTGACAGAAGATATCAGGTCAGCAAGTAAAACGACCGCTAACCATTCAAGCAATGGATTGTTTTTTTTAATGGTGCAACTCGGCATTTTCCACAGATCAAAAATAGATAGATCAACAACACGAAAATATACCACAGCTTCATAATCATGGAGCTCGAGTTGTTTTAAAAAGAGACAATTTAAAAACCGAGAAATTTTTACTTTACTTTACGGCTTTAAATTTTACATAATTGCGTGGGGGTAGGTCTTCCCAAAGACGTTGTAGAATAATTAAAGCAAATAGCACACACGGCCATATAAATCCCTGTAGGTCAAAAATTCGGCTTATCTACAGACACGTTAAAATGGAATGCATGAAGAAAAAACATCTAACCGAGGATACCATCGCAAACCTAGTATTTTAAAAAAAGAAGGTTGTCCCTTGACGAAAGCGCATGAATCCTGAACTTCGGATGCCGGAAAATCTAAGATAAGATCTGGATGATTTGTTGTTCATTTGCTTAATTTGAAACCTCCTTGTTTCACGATCCGGATGAGGTGAGATTGAAGTGATAGGGCTGATTCTAAGGTAGAGCTGCTAGTCAAAACATAGTCGATATAAAGCTTTTCAAGAATTGTGTTGCAGGCCTTGGGAAAAGATGGTCTTTCTTGATAACCAAGTTCTTGTAGTGTTCGAAGTGCTAAAAATATTCTTAAAGCGATTGTGCATCAGAAATACGCCACAAAATTCATTGATAGTCCTATAATTAATGGTCAACATTAATTTGTCTATACATTTGTTTAATATCGCAAACAAAAATATAATGAAATGAACGAAACCCCAAAAAAAATATATTTTTTTGAAGTTTGGGGCCTACAAGCAATGTATCGTTTAACAACAATCCTTCAACATCACAAACGTTGATGTCAAAAACAACTCCTATTTTTTGAGTTAATTGTGAATCAATAATTAATTCCTTAAAAACGACGTGATGAGGTATGTAGTACGCTGCTGCTGATCTATAGTCGCTAAATGAAATCGGAGACATATGACCTTCGTCTAGACAGTCTTGTATGAATTTAAAATCAGGATTATTTAACAAAACCCTTTCCCAATAAATGAAAGTGACGGTAAGCTTGAGAGTAAGTATCCACAAAATTTGGATTGAAATGCCGTAGAATGTATCCAAAAACAGTTTTCAAGGCTACAGGATGTAACCAATACGCGTGCCTACAGGACCGGGCTAATAGAAATTAGGATCTGCCAGTTTTAGGTCTTTATTATGCCTTGAGGAAAAATAAATGTAACTATAGGAGTCTCTTCCGAGCGAGGCTTAATGAAACAGTGAGCTCTGTCGTGGTTGACTAAGGTAGACATACCGTTTAATAATTCGACAGAAATGCTTGGAAGTAAAATTAGTCATTGAAGCAGTGTCCGACAAAATTCGATTTTTTTGTAAAATATCTTTACCGTCCTTAATGTTCACTTCACATGTATAAAGTAGAACTGTGGATCGGGATAAACGATAAAGTGTTAGTTACGCATTGTGTGTAAGAAGATTAATTGGCACTATTTGGAGTTTCATGAGCGCTTGATACATCTGACGAAGGGGAATTGCCTTGTTGATAAAAATACTTGACATTTCTAAATTGGATGCGGGCTAGAGCATAATATACATTTGTGCGTGTCGCTAGTTGAATCAGGTTGTGAAGGAGTAGTCGTAAAAAAACTAGAAGTTGATCTTTTAGGATTCTGGTACAAATGGGGCTTAAAATTGTGTTTCTCATTAGACGGAACGAATTTTAAATTATGCTGAATGGATTCCAGAGTTATGTTATGTTATCTTATAATTTGAATCTGTTAAGGGAATACCTTTAAGTTAAGCCTAAGTTTCTTTTTCCAATGAAGTTAAAATATACTGAAATTTCTCAACATCGCTTAAATCATCATCTGAATATATTAAGCTGCTAAATATTTCGTAAAAGCTAATCTTTAAATCCATTGAATGGATACAAATATGACAAGAAAAATAAGACCATCTTGAAGAGCCATTGCACTGAAAGAAAACATTCTTTTAATTTTGAAAAAGTAAAAATTCGAAAATCCGAAAACAATACAAAGAAAAGAGAAATTTAGAAATGATTGAAATTAAAAAAAAAATCAAAAATGCTATAAACTCCAGGACAGACTCCAACAATCTTAGTAAATTATATTGCAGCATTCTTAAATTATAAATTTTCTAGTCTAACTCAGTGTATTCAAATATTAGGCAAATCGCACCAGTTTATATCGTGCGAACCGGAACGCAAACTTGGAAACATTTCGCGGTACGTCGTCGCAGTGGAAAGGGGAAAAAATTAAAAAAAAAAACAAAAAGAATGACTGTCTTTATTTTAACTCGATGTCTTTCTTCCTCCCTTGTGTTAATTGTTTTGGATTATTTCACACAAGGGTAAGTTGTTATAAAAAACTATTTTTCCAGTTAACAAAAACTAATGAAATTCTAATTACGTAACCATGAATTTTATTGATAGTAGTATGTTGACCTCTTTTCACTATCCCCCGTCCACCGGGGGAGATTTCGAGATTGCAAATTTACAGATTCCCAACCAGCCCAAAAGAAGAAAAAAAATTAGTTTGACCAGTCTACGAGAGATGTCGCCCATTAATATCTCAGGTTTTGATCGCCAGATGTCACCCTTAATGGGGGTAGGAAGTAGTTTTTGTGTTTGTGCTTTTTTGACTTTTTTTTTTCGCCACCTGTACTTTGCGTCTAGGGAGGCGAGCCCGGCCGACGGCGTTACGTTTATATCGCGGAACGAGATTATTAGGTCACCGAGGTCGCGTGTAATCTATGTAAATAAAACACCCAAACGCTGTTAATAATTTTTAAAATTATTGTAAAAATTCTTAACCTAAAGAATAATGCCCCAAAGGGGTAGCTTTGGGTAGCATCTTTTCGGTTTGCAGGAAACATTAAATCCAATTGGAGGATGTACTTGCGCTTGGGAACACCAAGACGGTAGCATCAATGTTGACTTCCATTAGATTAAGACAATAATTGACAACTATCACTCAGATATTTAAAACGGACAGCAATGAATTGGAACATGTTGCTTTATTTATGGGTTTAAATGAAAAAACAACAATCACAATTTTATCGTTTGCTAGACGACGTTTACCAAACGACTTAAGTAAACAAGATATTTATACTTTCACAACACAAATAATCAACATCAGAACGAACTGAAGAGTAGGTTAGAACAATTGCTGCAGAAGAAATCCTTAGAGAAAAAAACAAAAAAAGGAAATTTAAGTTGTTACCGTGAACGACGATCAAAAACAAATTACAAAACGGTTTTTGAAAAAACATATACATTGTCAGTAATAAAAATTTACGTATTCAATAAATTTAAAAAAATATACTGATCCGAAGAAGATATTTTATTTACAAATTTAGCAAAGGCTCATTTTTAATTTACTGATGTTTATATATTTTTTGAAACAGTTTATGTACATTTTAAAGTATTTTATTTTGCTTCTGAGTTATAATTGCATATAGAGATGACAATTTAAAAACCTAAAACAGCTTTATCTTAGGGACGAAAAAAAAAAATCGAAAATCGCTGGAAACGGTTTCCATCAGGAGAAGTGAAAACATAAAAGTATATTAACTAGACATTAAACATTGACCATTCAAATTTTAAATAGAAAGAGATTCGAGTGATTCTCATTTAAGCTTTTGAAAAATGTTTTTGAGGAATACTAGAAAATCTAGATTTTATAATATTCTTCTCGGTTTGATATAAATGAATGCAAACTTTTAAGTTTGCATTCATTTACATATGCATTTAAGTTATTTTTTATTTATTTAAA